CACCAATAAAAATGAAAAAAATTAAAATGCAGACACAAAAAATATCCCGGCGCAAGAAACGCACTTCACAATCTTTATATATATTAGAAATTTAGATCTGGCGCAGAAAAACGTGCTTTCTCAAATCCCAACACTCACAAACGCACAGTTAATGCGATTTAACATTTGACTAAAATCAATTTTTTTTTTTCTTTCTATTTTTAACTCGAAATTTGCCCAAACCGTCGCCTCCGCCACCGCAGGTAGCAGCGCCACCACCCCTGCGGAGAAGAGACAGAAAAACACAACCATCTCCTCACCGTAGCGTTCCTCAATCTCCACTGGTACTTTTTCTTTTCTCTCTCCGTTTGATTTCGATCCGGTTCCTGAAAAATCTCGTTTCAAAATTTTGAGCTCCTCGTGATTCTTTTTTTTAATCGTACTTGTGATTGTTTTATATGGATTTTATGGCGCTTGATTAGTCTAGATGGGGCTGTTGTGGTTGGATCGTGGTTTGGATTTTCTTAAGTGTTTGAGTTTTTTTTGGAGAAATTTAGATCTGCATATTGTTTGCCCCCTTTTGTCAATGGCGCGATCGGGTGGATTGATTGAGCAAATACTTATTTTTTGTGATGGCATGAGTGGTCGGAATTTGGTTTGCCGATTGGAGCACATTAGATCAGCTTAATTGTACACCTGGTCCGTGGGGGGTGCAATTTTGATTTATGCATTCTAGGTGAGATTTTCATATGATTTAGTTTACCCCCTTGGTTAGCAGTTCCCCCACTTAACAGATATAGTCCCTTGTGAATTTGCTTATAGTTGTTTGGATATGGAAAATCAAGATTGCTATTTTTTTGTTCACCTGCCTTTCGTGTGTGTGTGTGTGTTTTTCAAGGATTCTCAGTCTATATCTTTCTCATATCTGGGTAACTGGATGGAAGAGTATAAGCGAGTAAGTTTGCGAAAGTGAAGTTTGGTAATTTTTGTTAGCTGACATTCGACTATTTTATGTAGCATTATGCAGACTTATATTGAACAATGGGATTGATCTTTACCTGTCCTGTTGTCTAACATACTGCCTGTTATGTATTTATTTGTACAATCTTTTAGTCAATTCTTTCTGATCTCCTGTTATTTGCTTTTCACCAAAGGACTATATTGGCTGGGCTTGTCGGACTCCTACATGAATGCATTGTGCGCATAAGTTTCTGAGAGTATAGAAGCAAGATGACAGCTAGTTCGCTAAATCAGAAAAATGGAAATGGTTTGGCTGAGCAGCCCAATGATTTTCCCAGGCCTTCTGGTGGATCTTTAGCATGCATGGTGAATTCAGAAATTGGTGCAGTTTTGGCTGTGATGAGGAGAAATGTGAGATGGGGAGTTCATTATGCATCTGATGATGAGCAGACAGAACATTTTCTAATTCTATCTTTCAAAGAACTTAGGAAGAAGATTTTTTCATGGCAAAACCATTGGCATACTATTGATCCGGTTTTGTACCTGCAGCCATTTTTGGATATCATTAAATCTGATGAAACTGGTGCACCAATTACTGGTGTTGCTCTGTCATCTGTTTACAAAATCTTGAATTTACAGATACTTGATTCCGAAACTGTGAATGTTGATAATGCTTTAAACCTAATTGTTGATGCTGTGACAAGCTGTCGTTTTGAGGTGACTGATCCTGCTTCTGAAGAAGTTGTATTGATGAAGATTCTGCAAGTTCTTTTGGCTTGTATGAAAAACAAAGCATCAGTTACTTTAAACAACCATCATGTGTGTAGCATAGTGAATACTTGCTTCCGTATAGTTCATCAGGCAAGCTCTAAGAGTGAACTTCTGCAAAGGATATCCCGCCACACAATGCATGAGCTTGTCAGGTGTATTTTTTCTCGCCTTCCTATCTTGAATAAAAAGGAAGAATTGGCTCATGAAAGCACCACTTCTCCTAAAAGAGAGGTAATGAAAGATTTTTCATTTAGACACATTTAAACCAATTTTTTTTGGCACAGCATTGGGCTTCTGTTGTCATGAAAAAGCCTTTTAGCATTAGACCTTAGAGCATCTAGCTTAGTGTACTAATATAGGCTGTATTATGGATAAAATTAATTGGAGAGAGGAGCTTCTATATTTTGTTTGTCTACAATATATGATTGAGTTTCATGACCTTCAGAAGATGGAATTTGATAGATGCAATCATCAAATTGTAATTGGAAGGTAGGTTGTTTAGGTTTATCTTGAAGGATGGTCTTTAAAAAATGGCTGATGCCTCGTATCGAAAATTCATGGAGCCGTTTTCACAAAAAAAGAGTACTCTCACTTATTGCCTTCCCAAATTTTTAGACTTCAAGCTTGATTGAACTTTCGAGATGTGTGAATAGTTCAAAGTTATTAATTTGTGAATCACCCTTTTCCATTACAGGATGATGTAGCCGCTCAAAGTCACTCTACTGAGGAGAAGCAAAATGTTGGATATACTTCTCCAGAAAATGAGAAGAAAAAAGCTGAGAACATAAATGGAAATGATGGCACATTAAGTGCTGATTCTTCGATGATGGATCCTTATGGTGTTCCATCAATGGTTGAAATATTTCATTTCTTATGCTCTCTCCTAAATGTGATGGAGAACATAGAATTCGGTCCTAGATCTAACCCAATAGCTTATCATGAAGATGTTCCTCTTTTTGCTCTGGGTCTGATCAACTCTGCAATAGAGTTAGGTGGTGCTTCTTTTGCTGATCATCCTAAATTATTAGCTCTGATACAAGAAGAATTGTTTTACAACTTGATGCAGTTTGGATTGTCAATGAGTCCACTAATTCTATCAACAGTATGTAGCATAGTTCTAAATCTTTACCACCACCTCCGCACTAAATTAAAGCTACAGCTTGAAGCTTTCATCTCCTCAGTGTTGTTGAGGATAGCACAGAGTAAGTATGGAGCTTCTTACCAGCTGCAGGAGGTTGCTATGGAAGCTATTACTGACTTCTGTAGGCAGCCTATGTTTGTTACCGAGCTGTATGCCAATTACGATTGCGATATATCCTGTAGCAATGTATTTGAAGGCCTAGCCAACCTCTTATCGAGAAGTGCTTTTCCGGTGAACAGCCCTTTATCCGCAATGAACACTCTTGCTTTGGATGGTCTGATTGCTCTGCTTCAGGGCATGGCTGAAAGAATAGGTCATGATTCGTCATGTTCTGGGGAAGCCTCTGCAGATTTTGGTGAATATAAGCCGTTTTGGACCGTGAGATGCAATGATTATGATGAACCTCGCCAGTGGGTTCCGTTTATCCATAACATGAAAAACATTAAGAGAAAGTTGATGGCTGGTGTTGATCACTTCAACAGGGATCCCAAGAAGGGGCTTGAATTCCTTCAAGGGTTAAAATTGTTGCCTGAAAAACTCGAGCCCAGAAGCGTGGCATGCTTCTTTAGGTATACGGTGGGATTAGATAAAAATATCATCGGGGATTTTCTGGGAAGTCATGACGAATTTTCCGTGCAAGTACTTCACGAACTCGCCCGGACATTCGATTTTCGAGACATGAATTTGGACACTGCTCTGCGTATTTTATTGGAGACTTTCAGGTTACCTGGCGAGTCGCAGAAAATACAAAGAGTGCTTGAAGCTTTCGCCGAGAGCTACTACGAGCAATCGCCAGATATTCTAGTCAATAAAGATGCCGCCCTTTTGCTCTCGTATTCCTTAATATTGCTCAACACCGATCATCACAACGCACAGGTCAAGAAGAAGATGACCGAAGAAGACTTTATCCGGAACAACCGTAAAATCAACGGTGGAGAAGATCTCCCTCGGGACTTCTTATCCAAGCTTTACCACTCCATCTGTGAAAACGAGATTCGTATGGTCCCGGACCAAATCGGCAGCGCTGCTGTTCTGACCCGAAGCCACTGGATTGGCCTGATACACAAAGCAAAACACACGAGCCCGTTCATTATTGCTGACTGTGGGTCCCACCTTGACTTTGACCTGTTTTCCATTTGTTCTGGTCCTGCTATTGCTGCCATATCCGTGGTGTTTGATCATGCCGAGCAGGAAGATACCCTTAAGTCGTGCATTGATGGTTTCCTGGCCATAGCCAAACTTGCAGCCTCTTACAACTCTGGAGAAGTACTGGACGATCTAGTCGTGTCCCTCTGCAAATTCACTACCTTATTGCATCCATCTTTCAGCGAAAGATCCGTTCTTTATTTTGGGGACGACATGAAAGCCCAGCTGGCTACAGTTGCGGTTTTCACCATTGCAAACCGGTTCAGTGACCAAATCCGTTCGGGCTGGAGGAACATACTCGACTGCATCTTGAGCCTGCAGAGGATAGGCCTTTTGCCTGCCCGTCTCCCGAGCGATGCCACTGATGATCCTGATAATAACGATCAAGTGAAAACATCGGCCGCTAATTCTTCTTCGGCATCTCAGCCTCCGGCGGCAACTCCTTCCCGAAAATCGTCTGGCCTCATGGGCCGGTTTAGTCTACTGTTGTCTCTCGATGCTGAAGATCCCGCGCCACAATTCTCTGAGGAGCATCTTGCCGCCCGCCAGCGTACTCAGCAGACCGTACAAAATTGCCACGTAGACGCCATTTTCGCCGAGAGCAAGTTTCTTCAGGCGGATTCTTTATTGCAGCTCGTCCGTGCTCTCGTCTCGGCTGGTGAACGTCCTCTGAAAGTGAATAATAATAATAATAATAGTAATTATAATTATAATTACCCAGAAGATGAAAACACGGCCGTATTTTGTCTCGAGTTGCTGATTGCAATCACTCTGAACAACCGCGACAGGATCATGCTCCTGTGGCAGTATGTTTACGAGCACATAACGAGCATCGTCCAGTCGACCTTCATGCCCTGTTCCCTCGTGGAAAAAGCAATATTCGGGCTCCTCCGCATATGCCAGCGCCTGCTTCCTTACAAAGAGAATCTAACCGACGAGCTTTTGAAATCCCTTCAGCTCGTGCTGAAACTCGACGCCCGCGTGGCGGATGCTTACTGCGAACACATCACACAGGAGGTCATGCACCTCGTGAAGGCAAACGCAATGCAGATAAGGTCCCACATGGGCTGGCGCACGATTATTTCCCTGCTCTCGATCACAGCCCGCCATCCGGAAGCTTCCGAGATCGGCTTCGAGACTCTGTCATACATCATGTCTGATGGGGCACACCTCTCTCCTGCAAACTACGTGCTCTGCGTGAACGCCGCCAGGCAATTTGCCGAGTCCCGAGTAGGGAAAATCGAGCGGTCCATGAAATCACTGGACCTCATGTCGGGCTCGATTGTCTGCCTCGTGGCGTGGTTTTACCAGACGAAGGAAGCTGCCGGAGGTGAGGAAGCTGTTTTGAAAATGTCTCGGGACATACTCGAGATGTGGATGAGGCTCGTGCAGGGGCTGAGAAAAGTGTGCTTGGATCAGAGAGAAGATGTGAGAAATCACGCGATTTTGCTTCTACAGAGATGCTTAACTGGCGTGGATGGTATTCATGTACCGGTCGATTTGTGGATTCAGTGTTTCGATTTGGTAATCTTCACTTTGCTCGACGAGCTTCCGGAAGCAGCAGCCCAGCAGAGTACGCCGAAAGAGCACCGCAGCATGGAGGGCTCCATGGTCTTTTCACTCAAACTTTTGTCGAAAACATTTTTACAATCTCTGGTTGAGCTTTCGCGTTCGGCCGCATTCTCCCAGCTGTGGTTGAAATTTCTCGGTTGCATGGAAAGATACATGAAGTTGCGATTCAGAGGAAAAAGGTGCGAAAAGATTCATGAACTAATCCCCGAGCTTCTAAAGAACACGCTTTTGGTGATGAAGACGAGTGGGATTCTTGTGCCTAGTGACCTAAATGGGGACAGCTTCTGGCAGCTAACGTGGATACATGTGAAGAACATTGACCCTTCTTTGCAATCGCAAGTTTTCCCAAGTGAGGAATTGGATAAATTGCAGGAAAAACAGGCGAAAGCCAGCTGTAGCCCGCTCCCTGATGGTAATGTAATTGTACCGACTAAAGAAACCGCAGCTTGAGGATATTCAACTCGTGTGCAGATTATATACGTGTTCACAGATGATGGATATTTTTTCGGGTGGAGGGGCAAAGTTCGAAAGTTCACGAGAGCCAGTTGAACTTGGAGAGGCTAAAAATGCTTGAGAGCCTGTTTTGTACTGCTCAACATTAACCTTAAAAAAGGACAGATGATTTCTTGGGGAGGGTATTATTGATTTGGGTTGTTTTTTTTAATTGTTTTTATTGTGCTGTGTGGGATGGAGAAAGCGCGGGTGTGCGGTTTTAGTATTTGGTTTGCAGGATTCTATTTTGAGAGAATGAGACTTTGTGGTACTTTTTTGTATAATAACATAGGGAACTTTTACTTATACTATTACAACAATGAACTCAGGAATAAGATAGACGACTCCTGAGAAGTTTCCAATGGGCTTTTCCAAGGATTCTATATTATATGATTAATGAGTGAGAGTTTCTATATCTTCAATTCTTGATGTTTGTGTTTATGACTTGGTTTTGGGGAAGCATGATAGATGGAAAAAAGAATGCTGAAAATTATCAGGCCTTCTTGTAACAATTTCATAATCTGGTGACAGATTGAATCATATCATGACGCCACAGTAGGAAATTCGTTAAAAATTTGTCGTCATCAACATTCGCAACAACCGGACCGAGAAACATGTACGCTCGGTTGAGATTAACTTGTTCAAGGATGGTGTTATTTCTTGTTCTGATCACCGGTGACCGATTACGGGTGACCGGGAATTATACAATCTTGACAAAGTATGTGAGGTGGTTTCATTGATACTGTATTGTGATTCTGTTATTCATTTCATTCTTAAATATGTTTCTTTGTTCAAATTAACAATATTGCTGCAAATTTCTACCCAATGATCACACATCAAGGAAAAGCTAAATAGCTGCACACATTCTGATACAGAAAAACCAAACGAGGTAAAGAACAGAAGAACATTGTCTCCAGATTGAACTAATGTGATATGATACAATCAACCAAACTGATAAACATTACCTTCTGAATTTTCTTGATTTGGAAAAAAAGATTCAAACTTTCTGTTCAGTATCTGATCAAATCGAATCCAGGCCCTGGATTAAGACCCGAAGCAGCAGCCATGGCCACGGCCCTCTTCTCCGCATCAGCAAGCTCAGATCGAAGCTTCTCAGCCTCGCGAGCCATCGCCACCAAGTGCTTCTCCATAGCTCGGTCGATCTGGAAGTTGGTCGTCTGCATCTCACGCTCGCGCTGAATCGCCTCTCTTCCTTGGTGGATCTCCCTCTGAGCTGCCTCGATCTCAGACCTGAGCTGCGGCACCCTCCGCAGCTCGGACTGGGCCGCCGCGATCTCTCCCTCGATTGCCATCAGATTTTCCAATCGGTCCTTGCGTTCGGCCCGAAGCTCCTCGATTGCGGCCCGGACGCGGCCCAGATCGGCGGCGATCCCGTCGAAGGGCCGGGCTTCCACCTCGAGCTTGAGGGAGCGGTCGTAGACCTCGCGGACACGGGCGTCGCGGTCAGCCTTGACGGAGGCGGCGGCGGCGGATGCGCGGCGGAGGTCGTCCTGTGCGGCGGTTGCGTCCTGCTTGAGGGCGACGTGGGCGGCGGCCAGGCGCTGGTTGTCGCGTAGGAGGGTTTGGATCTCGCGGTCGTTGGCGGCGATGCGGGCCTCGATGAGGTGGATGTCGGTGGGGGTGAGGCGGCGGATGGGGTAGAGGGGCTCCATTCTGCGGCCCGATTTTCTCTTTTTTTGGCTCTCAGCTTCGAACTTGCTTTGTTATTCTATTTTCATGAACATTTGTTTAGGATGTAAACGTAAATGCAGAAACAATGAATCAATAGGGGATGTAGCTCAAATGGTAGAGCGCTCGCTTTGCATGCGAGAGGCACGGGGTTCGATCCCCCGCATCTCCACTTTTTTTTATCTTTCTTTTTCTTTTCTTTTTCACTTCATTTTCTGAACCTTTTATTTTCTTACTTCATTCAAAAATTCACACCGTAATTATGAGTTCATGAAGCAGGTTATTTTATATCGGCAATCCGTGTAACTATAAGTATTCCTTTAAATGATGATCTCTTAATTGCATTTAAGATAAAATTCTTACACCCTACGCAACATTCATCGAGGAAAACCCGCCTTCATTTCTTAGGTTTCGATTTCCTAAAACAAGCGGAAAATCAAAATACAACAATGTTTTGCTCTGTCAGCCAAAGAAAAAAAAAAAGGTGGTTTTGAATTATGAGCAACAGCAGGCAAACAGAGAAACTTCTTCATGTACAACCCAACCAGTAATTTACATGACATAGGTTCTGTAGTCTCTTCAACCTAAATCCAACTTTCAGCACTCTACAAAGCTTAATCATCTATACAAGTCCCCCGGTACAGAAAGTATCCACGATTTTTTGCTGTTTGAAACTTTATGTGCCGATTGATTTCATGCTAAAGCCTTTGAACTTTCCTTTTTGAATTCGCTGTAATCCGCAATCAAGCTGCCATTTACTTTGGCTTTCATGTTCTCCACCAGTCTCTTAAGAACCTTTCCACATAGAAAAAACCAAATAAAATAAGTTGCTTAAAAAAATTAGAATATTAATATCTCCCACAATGCTTGACCGAGAGAGAATCCTAACCGATTCTGCAACATTACGCCGAACATCTTCAGGAATCAAAGCAAGTACAGGAGGGAGATCAAAAGTTATGCTCATCTGTAGTTGACCCTTGAGCCTTGTTCGTGGTCCACGCCTATCTGGATAAAGAGCCCCTTTTACACCAAGGGAAAATTGAGATGGTCTGAGCATATCATCTAAGCCCTGAAGCTCCCATCTGACCTGGCATCACACCAAGAAATAAATAAATAAATAAATAAAAAGATATTATTTTTAAGGGAAAAAAGAAAAACAATAACGAAGAGAGAATTTGATACATGTAAAGGAGAGGTTTTTTCGCATGCGGTTTTAGTTTTTACTTACAATATCAAGTTCTAAGACCTTTGTAATATCGCGAGGGACTCCCTGTGGGTATCCCATCCCCTGAGTTCTACACCTTAACCTCATGTCGATTACTGGCGAAACAGTCAAGAATAGGAATTCTATGGGTAGCATGTGGACCCTCCACTTTTCCTACAAGGAACTAACACAAAATTAACTCAGCTAACTTACAAACATGTGAATTTCGAGCTTATAGCTGATAGCTGATAGTTGGACGGCTGAAAAGCTAGCTGATATTATAAAAGTTTTTGCAAAACCAACTGAAATAAACGTTTCAACGGGTTTATTTGAAAAGCTACCCAAAAAAACTTATTAGATAAGCTTGAGTTTTTCAAGAAAAGATCGTCCTGCCAAACCACAAGCTTATTTGTGTACAAAAAAACTTATAAGCTAACCAAATAAGCTATAAGTTGGTTTATGGTGCTTGCTAAACACGCTCTTAATGCCACTGGCATATGTACGAATCATATCATGCATCCATATCTCTACTAGACGTCATAATTCATAACTAAGCAAGCATTTCAGTACAAGCTCAAGCTCAGTACATTATAGCATATAGATGTGAAGTGCAGTATTTAGTTGCAGAGAGTCTGAGACAAAGAAGCACATTTGAGTATATCAGAATCTGCTTGATCAACAGCCATGAAAGTTCTTTTTGCTCCAAGGGTATGATTTACAACCTTTTTTTTCCTTATTATAGAGTTAACTCGTAATCAATTACAAAGGAATCTTGATTTTGTCATCAAAGATCATCACATTCATCAAGGAGCGAATTCCATTGGCCGTTGCTACTTATTCGAGTTCTGTAGGTGAAATAATTCTTGAATTTGCATTAAAAACTCGTTTGAGAAAAGTGTCACGTGATAACAAGACAGCAGCCTAGAATGCTAATTAAACAATATATACATTAAATCTATACTCGATTGTATTATAATTCAACAAAATAGCTCCTGGCTCGAAGTGAGGAGGTCAGCCGAGCGACCTACGATTTTATTTGTTGCAGCATTTGTCCTAATTACAAAAAATAGCATTGAAAAATCTCTGCCTTCTATAGTATAAAATCTATTTTACCTTCTTCTATTCTCAAGCGTGTAGCAGGCTAGCAGCTATGGTGGAAGTAAAGCTAACTGTAAAAGTAAAACAAGCCGCAAAAGAGCTAAGTAAGAACACACAAAGTTAACCTCATTAAGCTGCCGGCTCCGGCGTTTATCGGGAAATATTGCTTTGAAAACCCTGGGCTTATTCTCCAAATATTGATCAAACGAGGCCTGCCTTTTCCAGAATGAAAAATAAAAAAAAAAACCTCTTAAACCCTATAATCGATCATCAAACTCACCAAGAAAAAAAAAAATCAATAATTAATGCATCAACTAGAGAAAATTTTACCTCGGGAGTTTCATAGAGAGGAATATCTGTGGATATTCTGGACGAGTATGTGGATTGATTCACCATCTGAGCTTTTGCAGTCAACGGCAGCCTCAATCTCCGGCAATGCCATTTACGGGTTGAATCAAGCGGGTATCTCTGGAGTTTCAACAGAGCGACGCCGGGTAAGAATGTGGTGCGGTACGGTGGCGCCGCCGTGAGCTCCCCCATTCTAAGCTTGTGTAGTTTTTGGACTTTTTTTCTTTTGTTTTTTTTTCATGAGCAAGAAAAATTGAGGCTAGTAATGAGTAGCAACGAATGAGAGGCAGTCTTCAGTCCTAGGGCTGCAAATCAGTCGAGCGGCTCGCGAGCGCTCGAGTCAAAACTCTCGATCAAACTCGAGCTGGAGTCGAGCTCGAGTTATTACTTATTAGTGGCCCGACAGCCCCACACGGCCTCTAATCAATCTCAGCCGTCCGATGGAATGTCCAAAAATATCCAGACGCTTGAAACTACATACACCCAAATTTTTCGTATCGACATTATTCCATCTTCACCCACGTGTATGGTAAATTAGTAATAAACCTCAGGTTCAAGGGTATTACTGTAAACCGTTAAAAACCAACTGTATAAATCAGGTATCTTCGGTCAATAGTCTTCACCCTCGCGTATCTCATTTTCTCACACAGATCACGAGCTTTTCCATTTTCCGATCAAACCATGTCTTACTTCCCCAAGGGCCACCACGACTCCGCCGACGAGGTCGACGACTTCGACGAGTACGACCCCACACCCTACGGCGGCGGCTACGACATCTCCCTCGTCTACGGCCGTCCTCTCCCCCCCTCCGACGAGATCTGCTACCCCAACACCTCCTCCACCTCCGACGACTTCGACTACGACCGCCCCCAGTACACATCCTACGCTGAGCCATCCGCGTACGCCGACGAGGCCCTCGACAATGAATACAAGAGCTACGCCCGCCCCAAGCCCCGACCCGCCCGCCCTTCCTACGATCAGCCCAACCCCGGCTATGGCGAAGGCGGATCCGAATATGGATCTGGTGGATACGGACGGAAGCCCGAATCCGGATTCGGAGCTGGCGGCGGATCCGAATATGGATCTGCCGGGTATGGTAGAAAGCCCGAATCCGAATACGGAGCTGGCGGCGGATCCGAATATGGATCCGGCGGGTACGGTAGGAAGCCCGAATCTGAGTACGGATCTGGAGGGTACGGTAGGAAGCCGGAGTATGGGGAACCCGAGTATGGATCCGGGTATGGG